ATATACACATATGTATTTTCGATTGGAATTAAATCCGCAAGCTCAAAGGAGGTATTTTGCTCGAAGCTACCAGCACTCTATTTTCATAAGCGCCGCTCCTGGAATTACATTGCAAACACGCTGGGTTCTGGAGGTAAGAAAAGAAAAAAAAACATCTGGGCTTCCCTCAGTGACGCATTAGGAGCGAGGCAAAACACTTCATCTGGTCTTTAACCGATAACGGAGGCTCGGGGTGGGGGGTAGGGTAGAGAGGCGGGGGGGGGGGGGCGCGTTGCACCACGGCCCCCACGCTAAATGTTTCAGCTCGCGCTGTTTTTTGTTTCGTCAACTCCACGAAAGCCGCGCGCTCTCCCGAGATCTCCCCGCCGATAGAGGAGACGAGCGTTAGCGGGCTCCTCGCCCCGTGAAATTAAGGATGCCCTGTGGCACTCTTGCGATTTGCGCGTTCGCTAGGTCGCGCGCGATCTCCACGTGGATAATTCACCCCCGAGAGCTCGTTTCACCGCTCCGTCTACGCGGTGTCCATCCCGTGCGGAGTGTTTACACATTTGGCTGCCACTCAGGTCCTTAGCCTCGCGTTGTACCCTGCCCAAGCGTCGACAATTGTTGCGTTCTTCACAGCTAATGCGTCTGTAACTTACGTTCGTTTTCCAACCAATAGGTCTTTCTCGCCGTCTTTCGTTGTAATCGATCCAGGCATTCATCTCTCAACGCTTCCTTGCACACTTTGTTCCGATTCCTCTTACGACGCTCACCTTTCCGATCCAAATGTCACAGCAGGGCTTATACACCGACTGCACTCTCACACGCTTCCGCTATGCACATTAATTAATCATAACTCAATCGTTTTGATCTGTGCCCCCACCGATAAGCTGACACCTGTTGCAGTGACTTTGAGAAAACACTCCGGAGTTGTGAATTGTTTAGTGCCTTGGGTCAAAGTACACGGCTAGGATAGCTGCGGCCTGGAAAGGTCATTCAGGGTCATCGCCGCGGTGTCCCTGGGCCGCACGGCAATGGCACGAAACAGCCGGAGAGGACGAAGCGGATGCTGCAGTCGTCGGGAGTGTCGCGCGATAAACGCCTGAATCATCGCCATCGGAATCCAACGGCTACGTGGAGACGACTATCAAGGGATCTTTGGGAAGAATCCGACGGAAGGGATCACGGTTTGGAAGACAAACGGTGAGATCCAGCAGATTCCCGGGTGATGGGGTGGCACTGTCTATAGTAGGTGACGGGGTGGCACTGTCTATAGTAGGTGACGGGGTGGCACTGTCTATAGCAGGTGACAGGGTGGCACTGTCTATAGCAGGTGACAGGGTGGCACTGTCTATCGCAGGTGACAGGGTGGCACTGTCTATAGTAGGTGACGGGGTGGCACTGTCTATCCCAGGTGACGGGGTGGCACTGTCTATCCCAGGTGATGGGGTGGCACTGTCTATCCCAGGTGACGGGGTGGCACTGTCTATCACAGGTGACGGGGCGGCACTGTCTATCGCAGGTGACAGGGTGGCACTGTCTATCCCAGGTGACGGGGTGGCACTGTCTATCCCAGGTGACAGGGTGGCACTGCCTATCCCAGGTGACAGGGTGGCACTGTCTATAGTAGGTGACAGGGTGGCACTGTCTATCCCAGGTGACGGGGTGGCACTGTCTATCCCAGGTGACAGGGTGTCACTGCCTATCCCAGGTGACAGGGTGGCACTGTCTATAGTAGGTGACAGGGTGGCACTGTCTATCCCAGGTGACGGGGTGGCACTGTCTATCACAGGTGACGGGGTGGCACTGTCTATCCCAGGTGATGGGGTGGCACTGTCTATCACAGGTGACGGGGTGGCACTGTCTATCCCAGGTGACGGGGTGGCACTGTCTATCCCAGGTGACAGGGTGGCACTGTCTATCCCAGGTGACGGGGTGGCACTGTCTATCACAGGTGACAGGGTGGCACTGTCTATCCCAGGTGACAGGGTGGCACTGTCTATCCCAGGTGACGGGGTGGCACTGTCTATCCCAGGTGACAGGGTGGCACTGTCTATCCCAGGTGACGGGGTGGCACTGTCTATCCCAGGTGATGGGGTGGCACTGTCTATCCCAGGTGACAGGGTGGCACTGTCTATCCCAGGTGACAGGGTGGCACTGTCTATCCCAGGTGACAGGGTGGCACTGTCTTTCCCAGGTGACGGGGTGGCACTGTCTATCCCAGGTGACGGGGTGGCACTGTCTTTCCCAGGTGACGGGGTGGCACTGTCTATCCCAGGTGACAGGGTGGCACTGTCTATCCCAGGTGACAGGGTGGCACTGTCTATCACAGGTGACGGGGTGACACTGTCTATCACAGGTGACAGGGTGGCACTGTCTATCCCAGGTGACGGGGTGGCACTGTCTATCCCAGGTGACAGGGTGGCACTGTCTATAGCAGGTGATGGGGCGGCACCTTTTTGGTTATGAAGCCATAAAGTGAAGCGGCAGAAGATTTGGGAATTAAAATAAAACTCAGGGAGTGACTCGAAGTAATGCGGGTATCGAGGAGAGAACGCGGAGAGATCTGCATGCCTGCGGTCGTGGGCGAGGAGATACAATCGCTGGAATAGTTGAGCTGTTTGGGTAGCCAAATCACATTCGACGGGCGGCATTCTCGAAAAATCTCAACGAGGATTGGAATGGCCCGAGGAATGCCTTTCGAAGGAAACAAGCGGCTTTTTTTAAACTAAATGCTTTGATGGCAAAATTCTAAGGCAACACTTAATGGAAATACTTCCTTCACTAATCGGTTTTGTATCAGTCCCTGAAATGAAATAAAGTTTAATCCCGCGGACTAAATCACTTTTCTCTTAGATTATTTTTTGTTCAAAGTGACATTGTTTTTTTTTATTAGGTAAGATAAACCCGGGGACTGTTTTGACCTCGCTGAGCCTCATCGGCAACTCCCAAACAAAGCGGGGGCACCCACAACCAACAGCCACGACGACGTTCATTCGAATACAATTTGCCTGCCCTGCGTGCGTGCGTCCGCGCACGAACGAACCACTTACACCGCCCGATTATATCGCCAAAGTTGCGATAACCGTCTCCTGTCCACTGACACCACCGGAGCTCTCTCCCACAGTCGGGGTGGCCACCGTATGCGTCAGCGCCGCCGGGCGATGCGACGAGGCTCGCGGCGCCCCAGCCACCACCCCGACGGGCACCCCCTGGCGCACGACGAGAGGACGATCCGCAATGTCTTTACCCCCCCCCACCCCCAAAACCATCCCTCCGTCGCACCACTGCTCGGTGGACATCCGTGGCAACGCTCGTCCACCCACGCCACTCTGCCCATTCGCCCGTGCCAGTTGCAACATCCCAAATGGACGCCGTTGCTCTGCGACGACTTTTTGCTCCGTGCCGCTCGGCGACGATGCTTTGGCAGCAACAAAAACATCTCACCGGAGAAGAAGAATTCTGGTCACCCGAGCACCCGGGCAGCCGCTCTGATAAAGCCTCTCGTCACTCGCACCTCCGATTCGCGTGGTTGTCTACGTCCGCTGCGAAACCAGTTCAACGTACGCACGCGCTGACGCGTGCGTACACAACGCGAGCCGTGCTGGCCCGGCGCGCGTTTGGGTTTTCCCGCCGCGCGTGGCCGTGTGCCGTGATGCCGACTCGCGCGCGACTTGCGTCGTCGAGACTCGCGCGGGTGCCGTGGTGACGCGGTGCTCGAGTTGCGCACCGACCGCGTGACGTCATTAGTCCCGCGCCCTGGCCCTGCTTGACCCCGAGCCAGATTCCGATGTCGCCTCTGCGAGGACGATATAGCGCGGCTCGGCTTCGTCTCTCTCGGGGTCGGTAAAAACGCCAGTGGAAAAACCGCCTGCGCTGCGCTGGCGTGGCTCGGATGTGCAAGTGGAAAAGGGGGGTACGATTGTGCCCATTGGGTGGAAATTCCACGTTACAATAGCAAAAGTCAAGTGTATCCATGGGACGTGCCCATTAATAATTACTTTACTGGACCCGGTGAGATGAAGGTCCGGCTTGTCACCTGCGATAAAAAATACCGCAGAGAACTGCACGAGAGTGCGTCGTGTTGAGTCGTCCGTCGCCATCATTACACGACTGACAAAAACCAGAACTGTTAAATGGCCCCGGGACAGCTGGCTGCCTCAAACAAGGGGGGCGATCCTGGGAAGATTGAGGACAGAGGTGGCAAGCACCCGGTCGATGGGGCTGGTTCGCATCCCAGCATCCCAGCTGGGATGCGAACCCCAGGTCTCTCCCGCGCGACACCTCGCCGGCTGGGCGATCTCGATCGGCAAACCGAGGGCTTCCGCGAATTTCCGCTTGACCTTTGAAGTTACAGCCGCGCTGATGATAAACTCCCTCTGCAGCACGAAAGAGCACGGCATTGTTCGAGCGGCGGCGCGTTGCGGGAGAGTGGCGGCACACCCACAGCATTGGCATAAACAAAACAAAAATGAATACTCTATACTGTACAGTAGCAATGCGGTCATCGGTCATTAAGCTGTGGACAAAGACGATGAGGAACTGCCAAGTAGATGACGCTAACAGGGGAAGACATCAACTCAGGAATGGAGAATAGACAATGATGGTGGTATTGGATGATTATTATAGATTCAATATGACGAGACAGAAAGTGGGAACAAGTGGGTTAGATAACAAATATGGTAGCTTGTAGATATCGCTCTCGCTGTTGATGAATTAAGTGGCATGAGCGCAGGACACGCGGCTCAAATAGTGGCAAAGGGGCAGCTGGGGCAGCGAGCACTTTCAGTCCACCGAGGAGATTGATCGATGGTGCGTGATGGACTTATTACTACGACGTGGGGAGGCCATCATCTAGCAGCGAACAGACCATGGCCCATCACGATGACGACGACGACGGTAAGCGAGAAATGTGATTTCAAACAAAGCATCCAACCAGAATGGTGAATGTCTCGCGTCGCCGTGGAATCGAACGGGGACCCCATCTCGCGCAGAGGGCCCGGAGCGGCGCGTCCTACCGGACTCGTCCTGGCTCGCCGCCTGGTGCGCCAGCAGCTCCGTTTCCGTGGCGAGGACCTCCTCCAGCGCCAGCTCGCGGACGCGCGACGGGGAGAGCTCCCGCGCGGGGCGCCCCGCCGCCCGGGCCTTCGCGCCCCGGCCGTCGCCGCCCAGGGCCGCGGACGTCCCGCCGGCCGCGACGGCCGCCGCGGGCGAGGTCCCTCCTCCCTTGGACGGCGCCGCCACCGCGCCCGCGACGTCGCGGGCTGGGGCCGACGAGAGCGACGACGACGACGTTGAAGACGGAGGGGGAGGCGGGGCCCCCGGAGGAGCCCGGGGAGCGGCCGGCGGCGCGGTGCCGACCCTCTCCTCCAGCAGCCGTCGGCGGAGGCCTTGGGTCAGCCGCTTGAGAGAGAAGTCTGCGGCGAACTAAAGATGAACAATCGTCGTCATTACTCGCGACCGAGGTGACGATTCTCTTGATCTACCCACAAACGCCTTTGCCGAGGCTCAAGACTCTTTGTAAACGCGGCCAGTCCTCTGCTATTTCGGGTTTTTTTTGGCCAATTACGTCGATGAGTGGAAGTTTACCCTAAAATATATTCCCCAGGCTTGCTCTGCTTGGCTTCCCACCTGTGATGAGGCCAGGCAAGTTCAGGGCCGTTTGGCGACGAAAACGCAAACGGAAGAGACACGAGGTAGCACGTTGGCCGCTCGTTGCAGAGGTTCACGGTTCGAATCCAGTGGTCGCCCTGGTTAATACTGGGCGTGTAGTAACCATAGCAACGCCCACGCGCCATCCGATTCGCAGCAGGCATACAAGATCCCCCCGACGTCATTCGCAAGAGTAGGCCACCGTGTGCAGGCATCAGGGTCCGAATTTGCCAAATTCAAAAGTTACACCGCACATCACTCAATTGGGATCGCACACACACACACAGCTGCCGATCGTCGCCCCCGACTGGCAGACGAACGTCTCAGGCCACTCGTGCGAATGAGACTCTGTGCTGATCTCTTGGAGTGCTCACCTGTTTAAACAACATCAACTTCGACTTGAACACATACAAAAGATCTCAACATCAAAAGTGTTTATTGTGGTCAATTCCACTGATGCCACTGATTCCTTCCTTCTGCCAGTCCTGAGCTGTTACACAGTTGAAACCCAACCTCAAATATCCATTCTTACAGTCTCATCATCATCATCATCACCACCGGCATCGTCTTGCTTTAAGTCTTCCCATTTATGTATTCCCCTCGGTCGCCAACCCATACAGACATTGCCACCCCAATGTCTGCGAGGGTAGCTGCCCCTTCTCCTTCCAGAACACGTGTCCCGCTCATTGCAACCTAGTCCTCTTGGTTTGGCCCACAGCAGCCTGGTGTACAAATGCCGTTAGGGTAGATCTATGGGTCTCCGTGTGAGTCTATAGGACCCTGTGTGACTCTGTAGGTCTCTATGTATCTAAGAGTGGATAGTGTGATACAGTCAGAGTAGGTCTATGGGTCTCTGTGTGAGTCTATAGGTCCCTGTGTGAGTCTATAGGTCTCTAGGTATCTAAGAGTGGATGATGGGGTACTGTCAGAGTAGGTCTATGGGTCTCTGTGTGAGTCTATAGGTCCCTGTTTGACTCTGTAGGTCTCTAGGTATCTAATAGTAGATGATGGGATACTGTCAGGGTAGGTCTATGGGTCTCTGTCTGAGTCTATAGGTCCCTGTGTGAGTCTATAAGTCTCTAGGTATCTAAGAGTGGATGGTGGGCTACTGTCTGGGTAGGTCTATGGGTCTCTGTGTGAGTCTATAGGTCCCTGTGTGAGTCTATAGGTCTCTAGGTATCTAAGAGTGGATGGTGGGATACTGTCAGGGTAGGTCTATGGGTCTCTGTGAGAGTCTATAGGTCCCTGTGTGACTCTGTAGGTCTCTAGGTATCTAAGAGTGGATGATGGGATACTATCAGGGTATGTCTATGGGTCTCTGTGTGAGTCTATAGGTCCCTGTGTGAGTCTATAGGTCTCTAGGTATCTAAGAGTGGATGATGGGGTACTGTCAGGGTAGGTCTATGGGTCTCTGTGTGAGTCTATAAGTCCCTGTGTGAGTCTATAGGTCTCTAGGTATCTAAGAGTGGATGATGGGATACTGTCAGGGCAGGTCTATGGGTCTCTGTAAGAGTCTATAGGTCCCTGTGTGAGTCTATAGGTCTCTAGGTGTCTAAGAGTCGATGGTGGTGGACTGTCAGGGTAGGTCTATGGGTCTCTGCGAGTCTATAGGTTCCGAGACGTTCTACCATTGTTATGGCTGGAGGCGGTCTCTCGCCCGTATGAGGACAAAAGTTGTCACCTCACGCAATATGGTACCTGATTTGTTGTTCGCTGATAAATTATGTGCTGAGTCGGCCCTTGACTGGGATATTAACTTGTAACTTTCCGATAGTCGGTCAGGTGCGCACTAACCATGGTGCCAACCAGTTGGAACACGAGAGGAAATTCTGTAACAATATTTACGGTGGCTGCCAAACAAAGCGCAACGAATTTTTACATGCTGTTTCCATCCTGGTTTGAATAAACACCTCATTCGAAACCCAAACATTGCACCTCCTGGCTTGGACAGTCATCCGTGACCACTCATGTACTGTATGCTGGACTTCTTTCGCACCGCACGTAGATAACCGTGCTAATCGGAGGTGCGAAGACACCGGTGGTGTAACCATCAACCGCATCAGAACATCAACGGTCCGATGTGCAAATCTCCTTCAAAAACGGCAAATGAAAGACGCAAGCCACAGCAGCGCGACTGTGACCATGCCCCCCACACAAACTCTGGAACAGACAGAATCGTGAGCCGCTGCAGGAGGTGGGGAAAGAGCAGAACTACACGAACTCTCCTTTCCCTCCTGAAGCCCTCTCGTCGTGGCGAGCAGCAGACCTCGACAGCGACATCGACCTCCTGGGCAATGTTGCTGCCATACGCAAGAATAGAATATTCGGAATCTCAGGAGAGATCATGTCACGGACATGTACAGTGTTAAATTTAACACACGTGTACAAACTCGCCCAAGGTATTGTATGGAAGAGATGACTTTGATTGTCTGTACTGTGCATCGGTAAAAGTAGTGATAAAGGTGCAGGTATGGAATGGCTTTCTCATGCCCCAGCTGGAGGAAATGCCTTCCCTCTAGGGAGCTTCAAGAAGCCACTCTAGATGGTAATTTGGCCTACTCTTCCACGCTGCCCAGATGTGTTGGAAGAGGTGGGAGTACCCACACTTTACCCCTCCACGTGCGATCTGCCCATCGACTGTGGTCAACACAAATTCAACAGCTGCTTGATGGACAGACACGGAGAGAAGAGAGACACGGGAGAGAGAGACACGGAGGAGTTGACGTAACTTGCACGATTATTTAAATTTCCAGACCGGGAGATAAAACGGGCCATCTCTGGATTACAGGTCCAGAGTGCTAACAACACCACTGTAGCATTCCATTTTATATAACCATAAGTATTTACATAGTTAACCAGGAAATCTTCACTGGTTCTCAATATATATTTTTATATATACAAGGTTTTAAAATCTGGGTTCCTTCCTGAAAGATAATCCAATATCATATGGTCAAGTATTGAAAAACAGAGCACTTTTGAAAGTGAGTTTATCGAGTCAGTGAGCCTTTGTAAATGATTATAGCTCGACATTAATTCATTCATTGTGCCTGGGCAAGCTTCTGCTGGTATGGAAGTGATAAACTATTGACAAGCGTTGTCCTACTGGAGCCAGAGTGTCCATCACAAGATCATTCTAGGACAACTGAAATTGTTACAAACTTTGTAGTTGCCCTATCATATTGCTCGGTCATTTGCATGTTAGTAAATTTTGGTGAGCACAAAATGCGAGTACACGTTAGTCAATCGACAGTACGCTTTGTGTCCACGAGCATCACAAATTCACATTAAAAAGAACACACACGGACTTGCGAATGCTGCCGCATGCCAACACAGCAGGATGGCCGTATGACGTCTCCTCACCTCTCCTCCGTGGCTGTCAAAGATGCCAAATATTCCAGGGTGAGTGCGGTTGTCCCAATCTTCAAGCGCGCGCATTTTAGGGTCTGAAGGTCCTCGATCACCACCAGCACCACCACCAGCAGCCCTTCGACCAAGTCCCCTTAGAGCAAATGCGGAGGCCGCTTTGCTGTTCCATTTCGCCACCTCCACAAACTCAGGCCCTCCGCCAGGTATCATCCCTGGGCGGCCAGCCTGAGCCATGTAGCCTCCCGGCCCTTCCATGTCATCGGCAGCATCTGAGATGTCACCACCAGCAGCAGCATCAGCAGCACCGCCAGCACCGGCCCTGGCACCAGGCAGGAGTTCTCCCCCACCCAGGAATCGAGCAGCGCCACGCCCAGCCGTGCCGCTCCCAGCAGAGACCAGGGTTCGAACCCGGGTCCCCGGAGATCCGAGGTAGGACCAGAAGGCCAGGCAGAGGCAGGCGAGGAGCAGAGATGCGGGGCGCAGGAGGATAAAGCGGATGGCGCGGCCGCAGAGAGAGCACAGACCCATTGTGACGAGGGCGATCGTCTGGTTGTGAGAGAGCTATCGTCTGGCTAAACGAGCCACTGAGCCGACCTACTGCCTACACCTCAGCACAATCATCACGACGTTTGCTGCACGTACGCTGAGCCAAGCGATGGCAGTGGGGTCCCAATGACAATTAACTATTATAAGTTAATCGCGTGCTCTATGCAGACTACATATATACATAATACAATGCTAAATCGTGCAATATTCGCTGCTCAAATTCTCGAACAAATTCAAATGAGACCGTCTTATGTATTGACAATTCGTATAGTAACACTGCAATGCGATTGGCTACACGGGTTTACATGCAATTATCAATGCGCACAGTAATGCAACGAATGCACGAGAACGTCACCCGCTGTTGTTTGATAATTTGACGGGTTGACACTTGTACCAATATAATAACACACCGTGCAATCTGGGGGTGTGGATGGGCCCCTACCTACTACGCCTTCAAATGGCTCGGCAAGCCCACACCATCATAGATGCAATCCGCCTCGCTAGATTTGCAAGCTGGACATACCATTATACTTTATCGGTGTCGGTTTTAAATATAGTACTGTCTCTCTATATATACACACCGGCACACGTAATATAATGTTCAATGGTGTAGCTACTCACCCCTTTGATATCGCAGCAGTAAAGATCAAATTGTCAGCAGAGAGCGCCCGTTGACGACAAGCACACAATGCAGACCGAGAGCTATCAATTCGTTAATTATTCAAGCAGATACCCGCACGTACGAGAGTAAACATACCACGCTCGCAAACACAACCCACCCACCACCGTACGCCTGGCGTGCAGGGCAAGGTCGCTATCACCACGACTCGGTCCCGACAGCCGAGCGCGCCTGGACGCTCCAGAAACGAAATAGAACGCTCTGCGTGTCGCACGCGCGAGCAGGCAGGCTCACGAGATCTGTGTTGGTTGTATTGACCGTGTGGAAATCCCGCAAAGTGCTGTACGCCACGCTCTGCTGCTGCTGCTGCGTGCTGCGTGCACGATCCGTGCGTGCGCGTTGCCGGCAGGCTGCGGTGGGCGCTGCTGTGGGGGCAGCAGCAGCACGGAAGCCACACAGTGCGGAGGGGAGGAGTAGAGGCTGTGCGTGTGCGTGTGCGCTGTGTGTGCGTGTGTGTGTGCGCTGTGTGTGTGTGTGCGCTGTGTGTGTGTGCGCTGTGTGTGCGTGTGTGTGTGCGCTGTGTGTGTGTGTGCGCTGTGTGTGTGTGTGTGCGTGTGTGCGCTGTGTGTGCGCTGTGTGTGTGTGTGCGCTGTGTGTGTGTGCGCTGTGCGTGTGTGTGTGTGCGTGTGTGCGCTGTGTGTGCGCGTGTGTGTGCGCTGTGCGTGTGTGCGCGCTCTGAGTGTATGCGCGCTCTGAGTGTATGCGCGCTGCGTGTGATCTGTGTGTGTGTTGTATGCGCTCTGTGTGTGTGCTGTGTGATTGTGTGTGTGTGCTCTGTGTGCGTATGCGCGCTGTGTGTGTACTCTGTGCGTGCGTGTGCGCTGATGAAAGAGGGATGCGTGTCCCGTGTGTGTGTGTGCTCTGTGTGTGTGTCCGGTGTGCGCGTGTGTGTGCTGTGGGGAGCGGTGGTGCAGTGGTTAGCGCGCTGCACTAAAAAAACCCAGACACCCGGGTTCGAGTCCCGCTCACGACCAACACCAGTAAACGAACACTTGAACCGGTCCCTGGGTCTCCCCGAGGACAAAGGCGGCCGGGCGTGGTGCTGGCCACCCACCCGCTTGCGATGCCTCCATAATGTAGTCTCTGACAGCACTCGGCCCAACAATGTGTTAAAGGCTATAACGGGAGATATTTGTCTGTGTGCCGCTATCAAGCGTCTCTGCTGTAAGAATCTGTCTTAAAGATGCCTCCCTTAAAGAGACGCTTGCTATACCAAGCAGAGCTACCAGTCCAGGTCTGTACATCATTATAATGTTGGGACTGTACCGTATACCACAATACCACCTTACGGGTGCCTCTCTCTTAAACGTGTCCAATGCTTGCGTGGTGGTTTGACGTATCTCTACAGCATTGGTGTGTCTCTCTTAAAGGCGCAACACGTATCCCAGTATTGGTGCCTCTGTCTCAAAGATGCACCGTGCATTACGAGTGTCTTTTTCTTAAGGGTGCCGCTCTCTTAAAGGTGCGTCTGTCTTTAGGCTGCTCACCCTGTATACGCACACCATGTGGTCTAATCATATTGACGTTTGCCTTGAGGGCTAAGCATGCCTTCAGCCTGCCGCGTCATTTTGCAGCAACCACCACGCAGCGTTGGACTGCACTCTTATGCTCCCACGACTAATGCTGCCCATCTTTCACTGACCGGTGTGGCGAAGTATGGTCAAACAGCCCCCGTAACCGACACGGCGTAGGGAGGCCTTCGTCCAGCAGTGGATTGACCAAGAACTATCCTTATAGGAGTGTATGGACTTCTTTAGACACAGTACATAGCCAACCGCGCTAAACGTGGGTGCCTCCATCTAAAATGTGCACGGTGCATCCTGCTCTCGTTATGAGTGTCTGAAGGAGGCTTCCCTTCAAGGTGCACTGCAGTATGATAACTGCGAGTGGACAGAATCTCCCTTTCAAGTAGAATTCCCTGTTACCGGGGAATTCTATTATCCGCGGGATCTGTGGTATCCACAAAAACTCCTGTTATCCGCGGGGCTATTTCGATTATCCGCAGGTTCCCCCCTAAATGATATATCGTGGGTAATTATCGGATCAGGCGATGTTCGTCTCTTGTATAACTGCAGATATGAGGGGTTATATAGCATTCGATGTACCCCACTGTTACAGGCGCGCCTAGCTAGAGGGGACACCCCTTGCTACTCTCTATTAAGCGTGCCTCTTTAAAGGTGAAGAGTGTTATTTATGCTGCCAGTTTATGTGTATCACTATTAAAGGTGTCGATGGAAAGGTTGCACTTCCTGAAGCCGCACGTCTATCTCACATTATTACCAGCCGTGCTGCTGACGTCTTAAGGCTACCCCGTGTCTGTGATGTTATCAGTGACCCCATTCTTAATGGTCTCTTTAAAACAAACAAAAATCCCCATCTGCTGTTCGCTTTAACTGAGTGTCTTAAAGGCGCACGTCTCCCACTGCTCGGTGTGCCTTTGCAATGGGAATCATTTGTAGGACTGTCTCCCATAATAGTGAACTCCACCTGCCGTTACATGGTATTTATTTTTCTATCTACGTTACTTTACCGAAAGAACCATAGAATATGAATTCCTGCAGTCACGAAAATTTTAAGTCAAAATGTACTCCTAAGGGTTGCGCCATTTCTTCCAATTATGGGGTCCTCTGTCTCAAGAGCGCCCTCTGCCTGGCAATATAACCAGTGTCTCCCAGCGGAGGAGTGTCTCCCAGCTGAGGAGTGTCTCTCAGCTGAGGAGTGTCTGTCAGCTGAGGAGTGTCTCCCAGCTGAGGAGTGTCTCCCAACGAAGGAGTGTCTCCCAGCTGAGGAGTGTCTCTCAGCTGAGGAGTGTCTCTCAGCTGAGGAGTGTCTCCCAGCTGAGGAGTGTCTCCCAACGGAGGAGTGTCTCCCAACGGAGGAGTGTCTCCCAGCTGAGGAGTGTCTCCCAGCTGAGGAGAGTCTCCCAGCTGAGGAGTGTCTCTCAGCTGAGGAGTGTCTCCCAGCTGAGGAGAGTCTCCCAGCTGAGGAGTGTCTCTCAGCTGAGGAGTGTCTCCCAGCTGAGGAGTGTCTCTCAGCTGAGGAGTGTCTCCCAGCTGAGGAGTGTCTCCCAACGGAGGAGTGTCTCCCAGCTGAGGAGTGTCTCCCAACGGAGGAGTGTCTCCCAACGGAGGAGTGTCTCCCAGTGGAGGAGTGTCTCCCAACGGAGGAGTGTCTCCCAGCGGAGGAGTGTCTCCCAACGGAGGAGTGTCTCCCAGCTGAGGAGTGTCTTCCAGCTGAGGAGTGTCTCTCAGCTGAGGAGTGTCTCCCAGCTGAGGAGTGTCTCCCAACGGAGGAGTGTCTCCCAGTGGAGGAGTGTCTCCCAACGGAGGAGTGTCTCCCAGCGGAGGAGTGTCTCCCAGCTGAGGAGTGTCTCCCAACGGAGTGTCTCCCAGCTGAGGAGAGTCTCCCAGCTGAGGAGTGTCTCCCAGCTAAGGAGTGTCTCCCAACGGAGGAGTGTATCCCAGTGGAGGAGTGTCTCCCAGCGGAGGAGTGTCTCCCAGCTGAGGAATGTCTCCAAACGGAGGAGTGTCTCCCAACGGAGGAGTGTCTCCCAACGGAGGAGTGTCTCCCAACGGAGGAGTGTCTCCCAGTGGAGGAGTGTCTCCCAACGGAGGAGTGTCTCCCAGCTGAGGAGTGTCTCCCAGCTGAGGAGTGTCTCCGAACGGAGGAGTGTCTCCCAGCTGAGGAGTGTCTCCCAACGGAGGAGTGTCTCCCAACGGAGGAGTGTCTCCCAGCTGAGGAGTGTCTCCCAACGGAGGAGTGTCTCCCAACGGAGGAGTGTCTCCCAACGGAGGAGTGTCTCCCAGTGGAGGAGCGTCTCCCAGCTGAGGAGTGTCTCCCAGCTGAGGAGTGTCTCCCAACGGAGGAGTGTCTCCCAGCGGAGGAGTGTCTCCCAGCTGAGGAGTGTCTCCCAGCGGAGGAGTGTCTCCCAACGGAGGAGTGTCTCCCAACGGAGGAGCGTCTGTCGCGACGTTTTCCAGCTGTTTAAAGGTGTCTCTTAAAGGGACCCTGTGAATCTATGATAGGCATCCCTCTTAAGGATGGATGTCTCGTTTGTTTTTTTCAGAGGAAACTTCGCTTGTATCTTTGAGCTTCGGTTTGTTCATCACATCAGGGAGAAGTTGTCAAAGTAATGCAGTTTTTGTAAAAAATAAAATGCTTTTTGTGCCTGTAAATCGAGACAGTTTTGGGACAAACTTGTTTATAATGTTGTTACTCTGCGCCTTTTTTATTTTATTTTCCCCGAATGTCATGCCAATGGTGCCATACAGTGAGGGAACAAAAGTATTTGATCCCCTGCTGATTTTGTACGTTTGCCCACTGACAAAGAAATTATCAGTCTATAATTTTAATGGTAGGTTTTTTTGAACAGTGAGAGACAGAATAACAACAACAAAATCCAGAAAAACGCATGTCAAAAATGTTATAAATTGATTTGCATTTTAATGAGGGAAATAAGTATTTGACCCCTCTGCAAAACATGACTTAGTACTTGGTGGCAAAACCCTTGTTGGCAATCACAGAGGTCAGACGTTTCTTGTAGTTGGCCACCAGGTTTGCACACATCTCTGGAGGGATTTTGTCCCACTCCTCTTTGCAGATCTTCTCCAAGTCATTAAGGTTTCGAGGCTGACGTTTGGCAACTCGAACCTTCAGCTCCCTCCACAGATTTTCTATGGGATTAAGGTCTGGAGACTGGCTAGGCCACTCCAGGACCTTAATGTGCTTCTTCTTGAGCCACTCCTTTGTTGCCTTGGACGTGTGTTTTGGGTCATTGTCATGCTGGAATACCCATCCACAACCCATTTTTAATGCCCTGGCTGAGGGAAGGAGGTTCTCACCCAAGATTTGACGGTACATGGCCCCGTCCATCGTCCCTTTGATGCGGTGAAGTTGTCCTGTCCCCTTAGCAGAAAAACACGCCCAAAGCATAATGTTTCCACCTCCATGTTTGACGGTGGGGATGGTGTTATTAGGGTCATATACAGCATTCCTCCTCCTCCAAACACGGCAAGTTGAGTTGATGCCAAAGAGCTCCATTTTGGTCTCATCTGACCACAACACTTTCACCCAGTTGTCCTCTGAATCATTCAGATGTTCATTGGCAAACTTCAGACGGGCATGTATATGTGCTTTCTTGAGTAGGGGGACCTTGCGGGCGCTGCAGGATGTCAGTCCTTCACGGCGTAGTGTGTTACCAATTGTTTTCTTGGTGACTATGGTGCCAGCTGACTTGAGATCATTGACAAGATTCTCCCGTGTAGTTCTGGGCTGATTCCTCACCGTTCTCATGATCATTGCAACTCCACGAGGTGAGATCTTGCATGGAGCCCCAGTCCGAGGGAGATTGACAGTTCTTTTGTGTTTCTTCCATTTGCGAATAATCGCACCAACTGTTGTCACCTTCTCACCAAGCTGCTTGGCAATGGTCTTGTAGCCCATTCCAGCCTTGTGTACGTCTACAATCTTGTCCCTGAT